CTTGATGCTGGTAAACGTCCGGAGGTAAATGAAGTTTACAATAGAAACAGCGAGTGTAATTTATGGGTTTGCTGGGAAGTGGAGACAAGGAAATATGTCAAATGCCACAACTCTGCTTGGACAAGTTAAATAATATCTGGGAAACACTGTAAATTATTGTTTCATTCTCAAATATGCCTCTCTGGGACTAACACTGAGGATTAGTATCTGAAGAGAGTTTTATAGTCCACATAGAGTTTGTAAACTATTATGAGGTACAGTACTTTTTAAACTTGCCATAATAGTATCCATCTCTATCCATGAGCTAGGCGGAAGTAGCAACTGAGAATATTTTTTTTATTCTACAGAATTTGATAGAAGAAACCATGCTGAAGCCAGGCTCCAAAACTGGGAGCTCCCCGAAAGAAAAGCAGAACAGGCTGGAGATGATATCTCTGAGCAACACTTCATGTGTGTTTCTTTAGCACCAAACTGTCTCTAAGAATGCTGGAGCAGAGTCAAAGGGAGAAATGCAGAGTTAATTGTTTTCCCATGACTGTTTTATATGCTAAGCCAGGTTACAGTTTGGCTTATGGTGGCAGCTAAAACTAGAACATGAGCTTGTCAATGTTAACTTGCCTTAAGCATGGTTTAACATATTTAAATCCAGGCTACTATGCTGATTTAGTTAGGGAAGCTCTAGAGAAAGGGCATAAGGAATACGGGACTACTGTATTACGGTCTTATTCATTTGACATATATGAGGTATGGGACAGTTTCTTTGGGGAAACATAAAGGATAATGGAAAAGATTAGTCTTTTCCCACAACATGCACAATGGCTTTCAGTTCGTATACATATATTTTAAAAATAGGAAGTGTTTCCTGGTAAAATGCTTTTTATGATGTTTGGTCTTAGCAGCAGAGAGAGAAAATGCTTATCAGGGTACTTCTCTGAGGGGTCTTTGGTACTTTCTGAGCTTGGCTGTTTTCTTGCAGACATTTCATTACCCAAACTAGGTAACATCATCACTAGCACTGATGATCCCAAAAGTGCTTTTTCTGAAGAACTGAAGAAGCTTCTTGGATAAGAAGGGAAACATCTTCAAGGAACAACAAAGGAAGTCCAGTTGCTTTTGAAAAAGCACTTTTGGGACAACCATGACCTGGATGACTGAGAAGCTCCATAGACATAGCACTGATGATGTTATCTGGTTTGGATAATGAAATGTCTGCAAGAAAACAACCAAACTCAGAGAGCATCAAAGACCCCTCATTTTAACCTTCAGCTACAAATATTCGCCTTTAACAGTACTTCTCTTGATTAAGTGTGAGACAATTTGTATATTAGTTCCCTGACCACAGTATTTGCCAACAGGATCCCTGACCAGATTTCTCCATTTCTTTTCAAGTAAGCTTCTGAATTCTTGACATTAAATATTTTTTATTTATTTAACCTCAATACAACCCCAAAGGCTGAGCGCCAAAGAATTGAGGCCTTTGAATTATGGTGCTGGAGAAGACTCCTGCGAGTCCCTTGGACTGCAAGGCGTTCAAACCGGTCAGTCCTAGAAGAGATCAACCCCGATTGCTCTTTAGAAGGCCAGATCCTGAAGTTGAAACTCAAATACTTTGGCCACCTAATGAGAAGGAAGGACTCACTGGAGAAGGGCCTAATGCTGGGAAAGATTGAGGGCAATAGAAGAAGGGGACGACAGAGAATGAGATGGCTGGATGGAGTCACTGAAGGAGTAGGTGTGAACTTAAATGGACTCCAGAAGATGGTAGAGGACAGGAAGACCTGGAGGAACACTGTTCATGGGGTTGCGATGGGTCGGACACGACTTCGCAATTAACAACAACAACAACCCCATATGGCTATAAGCATGCCTATTCTTGAAGTGATGACTGCAACATGTAGCCAAGATAAAAGCATATTCCCAAATATAACCATATAATCAACCATGTCATTTTTAAAAAATAAAATAGTCAACAAACTCACTCTTATAAGCTTCACAACTCTTTAAAAAATAGAAGATGGATTATTTGGCAATAAACAGAACACAGTACTCCAAACCACTCATTATCTCAGACAAGCAGCACTTAAGTTTAACTGGAAGAGTTTGTGTGCCTATCTTTAAAAGCATTGGAGTGCATCAATCTTCAAAATAGGAATATAAGTATTCAATTGTGATTTCGCACATGGCAAATTAGCAAGACTGATTTAAGTTTAAGGCCTTTAGATTCAAGAAATTCTCAACCTTCCAAATTACTAGCAAACAACACCTTCTGGCAACACAAACAAAGGGGAAACATAAGGAGATCTTAAGACAGCAATATTAGCACTTTCAACCAATCAATATTTTAGCTACACCATGGAATAGCAAGAGATGAAGAAATCAAATTCTTTCTTCCTTTTCAATCTAAATGGAATCCATGTATTCTGGCCAGGCTTGGAAGATGGAATTCTATATTTTCTTATCAAGGGAGTCAAATTGCATTTGATAAAGGCTTGAAATTTATGTTCAGTAGGTATGGATCAAGGTACACTGCAGACAAGAATGTGATGGGATAAAGAAGGCGGCGGCAATCTTATATATGTTGTCTCTTATATCAGAAGATGCAACAGATTAAATCTAACCATAATTACACTTTCTGATTATTCTGTCCATAGGAACATGTTGATTTGATGAAAATTAAGACCAAGTAAGAAAAAGTGAAGTTTGATTCTTCGTTTCTATATTTTTAATCTAACAGCCCAGAGTGATGTTCTTTCCATTTGTTAATAAAAGGCCCAGGTTGGTAATCTAATAGTGTTGCTGAAAGTGCATCTGTAAATATTTGTTAAGTTCAAATCTAGAAAGCATCACCAAACTTACTATCACTGATTTTGCTTTAAAAAGAGAAAAATATATATTTAAACCAGACCATTGAACACATCACTATTGGTTTCAGAAACACTATCTTGCTCAATATTTTAAATGTGATGCTATCTCATTCATTATGCACTCTTTTGTGCTCATTAATATGCAGTATTAGTATATTAAGAAATGCTGCTCTGCATTTTGTCCAATCCAATTTCACAACACCCTCTTTATGTAACTGTCATTGTACAACAGTGAGACAGAGGAAAGACAACAAAAACACTCACAAAAGCAGGGAAAACTCACAAACTATTTTTAATATCTATTGCATTAATATATTGCATTTAAACAAAACATTGCTTATCTATAAACTATGGCTCCCAAGTCATAGAAGCACCATACCACTACCAATCACGACACAACATCATTACAAAGTTAGGTGGAACTACATAGTTTATAAATGTCTAAACATGCAAGACAAGGTTTAGACATTCAGCAAAATGAAATACTGAAGCTTAATCTGGATGATGACACTGCATGTTATATTGTTGTTGTTTACATGAAGAAAAACCAGAAAGACTCTGCTTAGGATTTTTGTTTAGGTATTTTATTTAAGGCTTTTGAATTTTTGAGTTGTTTTTGTGTCATCTTGAGATATATCTCCATGATTGTACATACCGTAATAACAACCACTGCATTACCAAGGTAACTCTGAACCTTATGGCAGAATTGGCAACATTTTAATATCCAGGGTCCATTCTTAAAAATTGGGAGGAGAAGCTGAGGGCATAGTGAATGAGATAATTTCCTACAAATGAATTGGGGCATGAGAAAAAAAATCCTAATTTATTTTTTAACAGTGTTAAATCTTTATTACATTACATATTTTCTATTCTCCCTATCTCAAAATGGAAAGAAACTTGGTGTTACCTGAGAAGCTTACATAGAATGTGATGGTTGCAGATTGTTCAGTCCTTACTATTGTAGGATTCCCGAAGAGGGTTTTAATATCAAATATCTCACTCCCATTGTCTATTACCATGCTGAATTGCACTTACAGAAGCTGCAGTCCAATATATCTGAAGGGTACTAGTCTAAAGAAGGCTATGATAGAGGCTCAAGAAGAAGCTGAAATTGTAATTGAACATAATATCTAATTGATACTACTTCTCAATTTCCCAGTAAAAAAACAGTGATATGAATGTCTTATGACAGAAAAGGAACAGACAAGAAAACTGCCCTAGCTATCACTGCTTGAAGAAAAAACTATTTAAAAGTAAGCAATAGCAATAATAGATGGAGCATTTTAAAGGATGAATGGCTGGAGTTTCCTCAACAGAAGCAGAAATGTGAAAATAAATTTTTCATCACATGCTAAGCTTTCCAGAGAGTTTGCATTTATATAGCTTTAAAGCAGGAGTAAAATATTTTTTCTGCCAAAGGCTGCATTACACAAAAACTCTACAGGGAATCATGTTATGGGCAATATTGAAGCAAGCAATATATAAGCCACACTCCAAAATAGATGGAAACACCCTTCTGCACTTCTTTGTTCTTTTCTTTCTTTCATATTTTTTTCTTTAATATCTTCTCTCTCTCAAACAAAAGGTTCCAGAGAAGGGACTAACAGATTTTATCAGAAGTCTGAACAATTCTATTTCATTGGATTTTTGGAATTAAACCAAGACTTGAATGCTGCCCTAGAGCCACATGTGATCCATTCCTGTGTAAACAAATGTATAAGTAAAATCTAAAAACAATCTTATAAACCTTGCAACTACACAGGAAATGAGAAAGTCATTCATTTAGAAGAATCAAGAAACTGGTTCTAGCATCATAGCATTATTCACGCATATAAACGCTAAAATATGCTACAGCAAGAACCGAATCAAACATAAGAGCTGCCACTATTATGGACAAGAACACACATGAACGTACCCAAAATACAACCACCAGACTTTTAGACTGATTTATAATTCCCATTTTTCCACAACCACCACATTCAACTGTAATTCTGGTTTAAAGCTATTTTTTTTTAACAGTTGACATAAACTCAGCTAAAAGATGGGGGGGGGGAGAAGGGAACTGAGAACAAAAAAATCAATTCTTAAGTCTTTCATTTGGAATGAAACTGATGACACATCATACATTGATTTTACCTGTAGGCATAAAAGAGTGTCTACATAAGTACATACAGGATCTCTCCTACACACTGAAGCTGTTCTCTAAGGTGCAAAGATGCACCAGTTTCTTCCACATTCTGGAAACACAGACAGACACAGAAAAATAATACTGTAAATTCAAAAATCACAGATAGCAGCCCTTGGAATATAGCTAGCTGATCATTTTGTTAGATTTTACCAATTCCTTTGACTGGGATTCCAACCCTGCATGAGGTAAATGGTATGTCTTGTAATTATTGCAGTGGAGCAGATAAAAATCTGCTCCATTAAATTTTGATTCAAAGATTTGGGAAAACCTTAATTATGAATGAAATGAATTGTTATTCCAAAGCCTAGTCCCAGATCCCTCACATCAGTATTTCCCAATATCAAATGATACTTCCAAATCTTGCAAGCAAGAGCAGCATCCCCAATTCTGCACTTCCTTCTGCATGAAAAAGGTTAGAGAAGACCTCTTTGGGTTTTTGTTTTTGTTTTAAAAAACAGCCGCCTTTTTCAACTATGAAAGCGAATACAGTCAGCATCTTAAACCAAAATCTAAACATGGAGACCTTCATCTCTCATCCAGAGAGGAGGTCTCTTTCAGAAGCAGAAACTCCAAAACCGATCTCGATTTTATATAGTCAGAACATTATTTTCCTTCCTTTCCTTTCCACTATCCCCCACGACCTTCGAATATGGAGAAAAAATTCAAATCCCTAACCCTTAATGATAGACAAGGAAAGGAGTCCCCACCCCAAATTTCTCCATACCGGAGCGGAGCGGGTCTTGCTCCTAAACTCATCATTTCCCCCTCCAGCATCTTAGATATAGGAAAAATCCGATGGCCATTCTCCCAAATTGACCGGGGGACGGGGGGGAAGCAGGTCTCCGAGGCCGCTTCTTCCGAAATGTGTCCTTGAATGATGGTGGCATCAGGCGTGGAGAAAGTGGACCCCGGGCCCGCCGGAACGGGAATAGAGGCAGTTGAGTCCAGGCGACTACGGCGCCAGCCGTTTCTAAAGGGGCCTGTGGGTGCCTTACCTAACGAGGAGGCAAACCGAGCGGCCAGCTCCAAAGGGGCCTCCGCCGTCTCCCGCCGCGGTTCGCTTTGCCGACGTCTCTTCTGCCCCTTCCCTCGCTCGGCCCCAACTCGGGGGGGAGGAGCCTCCGCCGAGGCCTCTCGCCAATCCAGGCCCGAGGCGGAGCCGCAATACCGAGCCCCGAACCTCCCGAGCCCTAGGTTGGCGCCGGGCCAGGCGAGGAGGCCCTTTTTGACCCCGGCGGTTTCCTCCACCCGCTCCCCTTCCTCCGCCGTGCCAGGAACCAGCGGACCAGCCGCCCACTTCTGAGTGAATTTCAGGCCGCGCGCCAAGTTGAAGCCGCCAAATATACACAGCTCCCGCCACCGCCACCGCAGCAGCAGCACAAAAGCCATGTTCTTTTACGACATGAATATATAGCAAAATGGTATGTGTTATGTATGTGTACACTTTGAGAGCAAGAAACTATATTTCATTTTTAATATGTGCCAATGTGCCCACAGTAAAAAATGACAATAAAGGTTATCTATGTTCAGCAGTAGAACAGGCTGGTAGCACATTCGCTTAAAAGCCAGGTGTCGACCTTTGGACCAAGTTGCTACCGGTTTGGCTTCGTTTAACATTACATGCTGATTTTAGATGCAGGTTTACACCTTTTTAAAATCAGGTACGAACCTGGTTTTTTTTATTCAGTATGTTAATTTTGGGACAAGCTAATACTGCACTGTTTTATTTTTTAAAAACCAGGAGCTCCTATATTTTTTGCAATCATCGCTCCCTTTAACGTAATCTTAATGTACATAGTCCCCTAAAAAATCCAAACACCAAACTGAACACACAAAAAACAAGAAAATACAATTAAGCTTTGGGAAAGGCAGATTTATTTTAAAAATGTACAACTAAAGGATTCTGCAAACCTTCCTTGGAGTCTCTACATACCCAAAGGATATAGCTCACAATTGGGAACCCTGTTTTAAACCTTGGTATAGCCTATTAAAGCTGGGTTGCTTGTTTTCTTAAAAATGTAATATTAACTTTAATGGCAGACTGATAACATCTTTTTTTAAAACATAAGCTTAGGTGCAGCATGTTACCAGCCTCATTTGCATTGCCAAGGATTCATATACCATTATTAAAAATCAAAAATAGCATGTTGTATATTTTTCTCCAATCAGTAAGCCTATCTCTCTTTTATGATCTTTCCAGAGATACATGAAAATATCACTGTTGTTTCCTTATAGTCAGGAGATTTAATCTCTGCATTTCTCAAGATTTTTAACTACCGAATAATACTCCTTTATCACTATGGTGCTTGTTTTAATGAGAAAAAATGATTGGCTGCAGATGCTGCACCAATTGTTCAAGGTGGCACATTTTCCAATCAAGGGATATGAAGAGAACTGAGAAAAACCTCTCACGGAACAATTTAGAAAACTAAAGGAATAGCATTGGAGAAGACAAAATATAGTGGCTGGATTGACACATTATGGTTAAGACTTGGTTTGTAAAGCTATTTAATTGGATTTCCTGCTTTGTCTTTATATGAACCAGGCAAACCAGATTCTAGTTTAATGGGGAATTTCATGTTCCTAATCTTAACCTTTTTATTTTTCAATTACTGTTATGCAACATTCCTTCCATTAAATCTATATGTATGCATAATCTTTTAATTTTTTTAAAGTGAAACATTTGATATTTACATTCTGTAGTTGTGAACATCCCAGATAACCACAATGAGATGGTCACTGACCTCAAACCAGATATCCTAGAATGTGAAGTGAAATGGGCCTTAGAAAATCTGAGCAACAACAAAGCTAGTGGAGGTGACAGTATTCCAGCTGAGCTATTCAATATCCTAAAAGACGATGCAGTAAAAGTGCTACACTCAATTTGCTGGCAAATTTGGAAAACTCAATAGTGGCCACAGGATTGGAAAAGGTCAGTTTACATTCCAATTCCAAAGAAAGGCAATGCCAAAGAATGTTCAAACTATCGCACCATTGCACTCATTTCACATGCTAGTAAAGTTATGCTTAAAATCCTACAAGCTAGACTCCCGCAGTATGTGGATCGAGAACTACCAGAAGTACAGGCAGGATTTCGAAGAGGCAGAGGAACTAGAGATCAAATTGCCAACATACGCTGGATCATTGAGAAAGCTAGGGAGTTCCAGAAAAACATCTACTTCTGCTTCATTGACTATGCAAAAGCCTTTGATTGTGTGGATCACAACAAATTGTGGCAAGTTCTTAAAGAGATGGGAGTACCAGACCATCTCATTTGTCTCTTGAGAAACTTATATGCGGGTCAAGAAGCAACAGTGAGAACTGGACCCGGAACCACTGATTGGTTCAAAATTGGAAAAGGAGTCCGGCAAGGCTGTATACTGTCGCCCTGCCTATTTAACTTATATGCAGAGCACATCATGAGAAAGGCAGGGCTAGATGAATCAAAAGTTGTAATTAAGATTGCCGGGAGAAATATCAACAACCTAAGATATGCAGATGATACCACTCTAATGGCAGAAAGTGAAGAGGAACTAAAGAGCCTCTTGATGCGGGTGAAGAAGGAGAGTGCAAAAGTTGGCTTGAAACTCAACATTAAGAAAACCAAAATCATGGCATCCGGCCCTCTCAATTCCTGGCAAATAGATGGGGAAGAAATGGAGGTAGTGACAGATTTTAATTTTCTGGGCTCCAAAATCACCTCAGATGGGGACTGCAGCCAAGAAATTAAAAGACGCTTGCTCCTGGGGAGGAAAGCTATGGCAAATCTAGACAGCATACTAAAAAACAGAGACATCACCCTGCCAACAAAAGTGCGTATAGTCCAGGCCATGGTTTTCCAGTTGCAATGTATGGCTGTGAAAGTTGGACCATAAGAAAGGCTGAGTGCCAAAGAATTGAGGCCTTTGAACTATGGTGCTGGAGAAGACTCCTGCGAGTCCCTTGGACTGCAAGGCGTTCAAACCGGTCAGTCCTAGAAGAGATCAAACCCGACTGCTCTTTAGAAGGCCAGATCCTGAAGTTGAAACTCAAATACTTTGGCCACCTAATGGGAAGGAAGGACTCACTGGAGAAGGGCCTAATGCTGGGAAAGATTGAGGGCAATAGAAGAAGGGGACGACAGAGAATGAGATGGCTGGATGGAGTCACTGAAGCAGTAGGTGTGAACTTAAATGGACTCCAGAAGATGGTAGAGGACAGGAAGACCTGGAGGAACATTGTCCATGGGGTCGCGATGGGTAGGACACGACTTCGCAATTAATAACAACAACAAGTTGTGAAGTCAATCTGCTTTTACAGTACTCCAAATGGAAAGTTAACTATTCAGTCATTTGAATCAGATTTTTCTGAAGAAATCTAAAGGTTTTGGCTTTATGCAGCTAATAGATCTATATCTATCTACCTACCTACCTACCTATCTAAACCAGGGGTTCTCAACCTTAGTAACTTTAAGACTTGTGGACTTCAACTCCCAGAATTTCTCAGCCAGCTCTGGTTGAGGAATTCTGGGAGTTGAAGTCCACAAGTCTTAAAGTTGGCAAGGTTGAGAACCCCTGATCTAAACATTTATATAGACAAAATAGGATCAAATAATTTGAGGGATCATCCATCTTCCATGTTTGCCTCCAGTAAAAGCTGGCAGAGTTGGCATTCTTTGGTTCCTCTCAATTCAACAGTGCCATCTATTGGAGCCCAGGAAGAATGCCTTCTTTGCCACAATGCTTGCCCTCTAGAAATCCATGTTGAAAATATTTTCAGAAAGTTGAGATATTTAGATATTTTAAACAACAACTCCTTCCATTATACAATTTGATTCTTTAAAGGTTGCTGTTAAATGCATTTTTCTGGAACATAAAAAATCTGAACAAGAGAACTTCAGTTAGGGTTCCTCTGTGATCTGTACATGTGAAGGTTAAGCAAATACAGATATTGGACTTGAGTTACCTCACAGACATTGTACCAATAGTTTTGAGGCTTACCTGTTCACTGAATAAGAAACAATAGTCTTCACTAGTTCTCTGGATGAAGTTGATAAATGACAAAACTTTAAATGACAATGCTCATGATCTATTATAGAAAAAGCTTATCTCACCTAAGCTGTTCCTACAGAGAAAACAACTTTAAGCACCATTAACAAATACAGTTTTATCTCCAGATAATTTTAAAATAAATTTGCTAAAATTCTTAGAATTATAGAGTTGGAATGTATCTCATTTAATCCAGGGGTCCCCTAATCTTGGATCATTGACTGGGACCAGTACTGGTCCGTGACCTGTTAGGAACTGGGCCACATAACTAGAGGTGAGCGGCAGGGGAAAGCAAGCGAAACTGCAAAGTTAATTACAGCTATATCAGCCAAGCCTAGACTCTCTTACCTTCTTTAACCTCTTTTACTTGTAAGAACCAGCAAATGGAATGAAGCTTTGGCCTGAGATCTAAAAAGGCATTATAACTGGAGTGTTGCCCTTTACTGAATAACTAGTATAATCCAAACGTCCTCTAAGCATGTCTATATTTGCAACATATACCATTAACTTAGTAAATATGTACCTAGTTATTTGCAATTGGGCAGTATATTTACACACACACACACACACACACACACACACACACACACACAAAACAATAATAATAATGAAATTAACCAGTGGAATGGCTTGCCTCCAGAAATTGTGGATGCTGCACCACTGGAGATTTTTATTAAAATATTGGCAGCCATTTGTCAGAAATGATATAGGATCTCCTGCTTAAGAAGGGTTTGGACTAGAAAATCTCCAAGCTCCCTTCCAACTCTATTATTCTGTTAATATGATAATAAAATAAATATACTCCTCTTCGTTTGTAAATACTAGTACAGTATTAATGGTACCACTACAGTGAGGAAAAAAAGTATTTGATCTGCTGATTTTGTATGTTTACCCACTGACAAATGATCAGTCTATAATTTTAATGGTAAATTTATGTTAATGTTAATAGTGAGAGCCAGAATAACAACAAAAATTCAGGAAAATGCATGTATAAATTGTTATAAATTGATTTGCACTTTAATGAGTGAAATAAGTATTTGATCCCTTATCAATCAGCAAGACTTCTGGCTCCCAGGTGTCTTTTATACAAGTAACAAGCTGAGATTAGGAGCACTGTCTTAAAGGGAGTGCTCCTAATCTCAGCTTGTTACCTGTATAAAAGACACCTGTCCACAGAAGCAATCAATCAATCAGTGATTCTAAACTCTTCACCATGGCCAAGACCAAAGAGCTGTCCAAAGATGTCAGGAAAAAGAAAAGACTATCGCGAAGTAGGTTGGTGAGAAGGTGACAACAATTGGTGCGATTATCTGCAAATAGAAGAAACAGAATAACTGTCAATCTCCCTCGGTCTGGGGCTCCATGCAAGATCTCACCTTGTGGAGTTTCGGTGATCATGAGAATGGTGAGGAATCAGCCACAGAATTACATGGGAGGATCTTGTTAATGATCTCAAGGCAGTTGGGACCATAGTCACCAAGAAAACATAATCCCATAGAAAAACTATATAGGGAGCTGAAGGTTCGAACTGCCAAATAATCAGTCTCGAATCCTTAATAACTTGGAGAGGATCTGCAAAGAGTAGTGGGACAAAATCCCTCCTGAGATGTGTGCAAACCTGGTGGCAACTACAAAAAACATCTGACCTCTGATGGCCAACAAGGGTTTTGCCACCAAGTACTAAGTCATGTTTTGTGAAGGGGTCAAATACTTATTTCACTCATTAAAATGCAAATCAATTTATAACTTTTTTGAAATTTGTTTCTCTGAATTTTTTGTTGTTATTCTGTCTCTCACTGTTAAAATAAACCTACCATTAAAATTATAGACTGATCACTTCTTTGTCAGTGGGCAAACATACAAAATCAGCAGAGGATCAAATACATTTTTCCCTCACTGTACCCGTAATTAAGAAAGAGCCAATTTTTTCCTCTGTTAATCAAGCTACCAGTTGGCTTTCCTCTGGTTGGTAAAACCTCATGTACTATCACTATAGTATCTGAGATCATCTACAAAGGGCAGACAAGGTCCTGCTATACCTCCTCTTGTTTGTCATCCACATTTCCCAAATCATGCCCTCCTCTGCTTTAGATGAGTCTTATCATCCCAGGAACAAAACCAAGCTTCAGCAGTACTGCCATGTCCATTTTAGATTAATCAGTTCTACCAGCTACTAAAACCAGCAGTTAATCTTCAACAGACAGAGCTGTTGTGATTCTCTTAGATGTCAGCCAGGGTATATCTCCCTTTAGTTCTCTTCCCCTTCTTTTTCCCACAGTTCCTATAATTTAAGATTTTACCAGCCTTATAGCTCTTTTGTTTTTGCATTTCTGCAGAGAAACACAAGCCAAAAAGATGACAACTGCAGGACTGTCACAGCATTGGTCATTCTCATTTACATTCAGCTTATATTCATTATTTGCTACTTCTTGTTTTACCCTACACATTTCTTAAGGAACACATTCCCACTGTGTTCAACTTTGTTTCTTTTGACATATTCAAGTTTAGGTCCATGTAACAAAATAGTCTTGTACTCTTATAAATAACCCTTCTAGCTTCTTTTGACATTCATTCCACTCAACAAATACATAGATGCACTACTCTTTACCCATAGCTGCATGTTTTAAATTTAAAATGGCTTTAAATTGGCCACTTTTACAGAGATATATAACGTATTTTAGTAGGTCACTAACTATACATTTCACATTGTATGTTTTTCGGTGGAAATTACCTGAATTTGTTTGTTT